CACTTCAGACCTGGTGTACTGACAGCATTTTCACGTTTCCATACACACCTTCCACCAGAACACACCCTGTGGGAGCAGCACTATCCTTGTAGGCTGCCAGGTGAGATCACACTGACACTGCCCAGGATCCCATTCCAGGAACTGATCCCTTTTCTGTGGAAACTTTTGTAACTGCTTTTAAAAAGAGATTACTTGAAGCCTGTTTGCTTCCTATTCCACATCCTCAGGCTCATATTGCTTATTATCCTTACCCGTCTTCATTCACATCAGTCTCCAAATGGAAAACACAGCAGACAAATTCAAATGATGAAATCATCTACCTAGTTGCTTGTTTATACTGCAGCCAATTCCCTTCCCCAAGGAATTCTGCATAGCTGCTGTTTTCGTGGTCTTAGCAGTAGGAAACACCTCTTGCAGCCCTGAGATTTTGAAGCACAGCACACAACTAGCAGCTCCTACTGGAACCAAAGCATTTATTTAAAAAAAAAAAAATGATTACGCCCTTTATAATGTTAAAACTTGATCTGTCCTTTCCCTTGGCAGTTAGCAGATTCAAGTTACTTAATCAAAGCAAAATTGAAACAGCTCAGGTCAAGAATAATTCTTCAACTAGCCTGGAGAGGACGGGGATGAAAGGGAGGTTCCCACGATTTTTATCCTCACAGGCAGTACCAAACTTAATCCTGAGACCACATAAAGGCAGCTGTTTCTAATGCCAGAGGGAGGTGTGGGCAGCCAACCAGAGGAGACTCAACTTCAAACTACATATTCTAAGGGCAACCCAAACCTTTCCCTTCCCTCTCACACAATTCACCACCCAGCAGTAATTCACAGATTATTAACTGGCCTATTAATTGGTTGAGTTTCCTAGGTATTCTTGTAGTCAAGAAAAACAACCAAACCCAAAAGCCTTCTTCCAACTTCTAGTCTGGGGAAAGTTGAGGGAAAATACAGAAAAGTTGAAACCAGACTTCAAGAACCTTGTCTTTATTTACAGGCAGCCTGAATGTTTCTGTGCCATAAATTCCCTGTTCACTGAGAACGGCTTCCTTTTAACCAACAATGATGGTCTTTACTACTTACCAGTTGAAGGTCATTTCATCTTCTTTGAAGATTTAAGTATCACCAATTGAGAAGACAATTCAAATGAAACGTTGTCATATCACTACAACTTAAATACACAGGAAATTCAGCTACTTGATTCTCTGGATCTAGTTGGCCCATTAAGAATTCTCTGCTCTGACTTATTTTCCATGTTTTGTGTGAGATCCTTCAAGCTGAGATTTACAGCTAAAATATACAATTTCAAAAAGTCCTTCCCCACTATTTTACCAGAACATCCATCTTTCATCTGAAGTCAAACACATGAAAACTCAGGTATCTTCAGAAACCTTCCAAGGCAATTAAAAATATATATTTTGACTTTTTTATGCAGCCCAACACATGTACAAGTAAGACTCATTTGCCCTATTGATTTTTCAAACTAGTATGAAATACTATAAAAAACCTAAGCCACTTTGTAAGATTTAATAACAGGCATACTGCAAAAATTATTTCAACTGTAGTTCAGTAAAACAAACAGCACGAAAGATACAGCAAGAAAATTAAATACCTTCAGGAAGCTGAGCACTAAATATTGCAATTCTTTAGAGAACATCTGAGAAAGGGCGAGTCAGTTGAAAAACAGTACTAACCTTCAAAGCCAAGTACTAAAACACCCCTGTGTTTGGCAAGGGATATGCCCCCCCCTCAGAACTGGAATGGTTTGCATCTCTGCAAACCACTTAAGGCTGACACCTCTTTTCTTGTCATTTAATGCACACAGTAGGAAACAGTTCACAGCACCTAATTCTATAAGGTGCTGTGAACTGAATAGGATTCAAAACATTGTCACGCAGCATAAAGTTAATGACAACAGTCTGTATTAATGGAGTAAAAGAAACCATAATAATAACAAGTCAGTTTTGATACCTGTCCCCATCAAGTTAAAACTCTTTTCAAGATTATACCCTAGAGAAGTGGTCTCCAAAGTCAGGTGCATGCACCCCAAGACAATCCATTTGGGTGCAAGAAGTGTTTTTTGTACAATTAACAAACAAAATGTTAAATAATTTAAAAATAGTCTTTATTTTGTTTTCCTCTCAGACTTTTTCAATTTCTACTCCCGTGTATGTACATAATATATTAGAACAGTGGTACATACATAAATTATTAATAAATATACATATACTGGGTGCACACTTAGAAGTTTTTATTGATGGGGTATGCAATCAGAAAAATTTTGGAGACCACTGGCCTCAAGGATGCAGCTGCTTGCACAATCACATATCCTGTTGCTGAATTAATTTTTTAGTATCAGTCTGAAATACTCTCCTCAGGAGCATATTTTCAATATGCCTATTGAGATGTTTTTCCTTCAAAATATGATGGATATAAGGACACAATGGAAATTTTAGAAAGATCAGGCTTGGAGAACACAAAGCATTGTCTAAAAAGTATCCTTTGGTAGAATTACACTGAAGTTATGATTTTACAGCAGTGAAGTTATCATTAAAACATATGCAACTTCAACATCAGATTGGAGCCACCCTGTCACTTTTGCAGTTTGGGAGTTGCATTTCAGATCAATACCAGCTCTTCTTCACCCCTGCACCCCCTTCCCACACACCGACTCTGTGAGCACCCCCACCCCCACAGAGGTGCTGGTCTGTCAGCGCTGCTTGGGGTCCCCAGATCACCCACCCTGGGCCTGGAGGTGCCACCAAGGAGCTTGGGGACCGTGCCCCTCTTGAGCTGGCACCTGAGCAGTGGCTGTTCAGGCTCCCCCCCGCCCCATGAGGCCCTCACTGCACACAGACGCTGAGGCAGCACCCCAGGATCTCTGGCCACCCACAGATGCAGATGATGGTGAAGGTCCCCCATGGCCACCCAGCAGGGTACAGTTCACAGGCAGCAGCTGTTCTTCCCAGTTGGTGCCTGGGGAAACCAGCCAGCAAAGTATCCCAGTATTTCAGTGCACGTGGCAGCATGCTGTTCACCAAGGTGGCCTTTTATTAACATACAAAGTTGTGCTTTTTGACATGTCTATTCCAGCACTTTTACAACCGATTCCTAAAAATATTACCTGAAAAAAAAAGGAACAAGAAATGTGTATCCTGAATCCACATTCCTGTCTAGAACCCAGCACGCTTATAAAAAACCCCTTTCTGTTTTAAATAAGAGAGCAGCATATTGTATTTAAAAACGTTAATCTCTGCTTCACTCTGGCTAGTTTTGTTTGTTCTTCCTTTGATCTGGATGCTTTCATTCAAGCAAAAGCAAGACTCACAGTGAATGGGGGGATATGTGTGTACTTAAGACACATGAAAAGCGTGTGTGGTAAGCCAGTGCCACACTACACATCACAGCTGGACCTCAATTCGCAGGCCAAGTCTCCAAAACCCACTTGGTAAAACACTTGCTCCCAAGTCCACACAGAGCACAGTGCTGGACACAACCCAAACAGCATCCCACGAGTTTCAGTTGTCAGCTGTTCAATTTGATCCAACACCTCCGTGATTTAAGAGCATACTACTCATAGCTAGGAATTCAGATTTAGGTAGGCCCATGATGACCTGAACACGAAAGCCTTGAAGACTGTCTATTCTGATTTCTTGTTTACACCCCAGATCATTTGCTCACCCTTCAAAAAAGTCCAACAATTTACATTTGATTACAGCCTACTGAGGATACCAAGGGCTACAACCCATTACATCTCATTATAGATTGTTAACCAGGGAATCAGTCTTGTGTTAGAAACTGAGCACATTTCTTTGGATCACAAACATTTCTAGATTCCACCTTCCATGACTTGATAACTTTTATGCCTCATTCCCCTAAATCAGAGACCAATGCCACCCAGAACTGAGCAGTCAACCTTTGTTGTTATGTCACAGTTTGGTATTCCCTTCATTTACACTTTAATCTTTGAGCTTTAAAAAGAAAACTGGCAATGTGTCAAGACAGGAAGTACAACAGAAGAGTAGAACTCCAGGAAGGGACTAGAAGGGACCTCTGGTTTATCAGGTCTCGTTGCCTTCTACTCAGACACCACTTTGCATTTCATTTCTTTCATAGATACACTTGGCTCTTCCTTCAAAGGAGGCCTCTGCCCAGAAGCCTGTTCCAGAATTAGTTCTAGTAATTAGGAACTTTGTTTCTAATCTAAATCTTATTTGCAGAAAGTTTATATCCACTTGCTTTTGTTCTAGCACTCTTTTAGCTCACAGTTTCTGTCCTTTGCCTGTCACTCATACAAAAAAGTAGTATTCTGACCCCATAAACAACCATACTGCTACAGATTAAAAAAAAAATAAATTAGGGCTTACCCATGAAATTAAACTTTCAGAGTATGCAGAAGATAAAATATTTAACTTTCAGAGAAGGGAACATGGAAAAAAAAAAAGGAGGGAAAAAAGCTAGTCAGAAGGTGTGATTTGTTTAGCTATCCAAAGAAGCCTTCTCTCTTCATCCTGGAAAAATGGGCTTGTAGTTATTATAATCAGTTGCTACAGAGGTAACATGCACAGCAATCCACTGGAACACTCCACATGAAAAAGCTGTACAAAATGGACTGCACAGAAGAAAGTCAATACAACTCCAGTGACCATTAAAACAAAGATCAAATCACAATCTGTCTTGTTAAAAGGAAATATGACTTTAAAAGACATAGTGCCCTTGAGTTTGGTCCAACAATGTATCTTTCATGAAAGGAAATGACAAAAAACCTAAGCTTCAGAAATGGTCTTATGTATTTTATATCTTTCTACGAATTCAATTTAGAAAACAAACTAAGAATGGAGCCAAAAGGTCAATAAACAAACCATCCAGCATTCATTCACAGGCAACAGAAATCCAAGTACCATATGTACATTGTTCTCTCATATTATGTCCAGAAGATAGAGGCATGCAACACCATTACTGTCAACATTGAATAAAGGTGTACATTTCAGAGCATGAAATACTTCTCCACTTCCACCAAGTTTATTGAAACCTTCCAAGTTAGGTCTGACTAATCGGCCGATATGACAGCTGTCAGGTCAGCAAACAGACTTGCAAGTAGGTATTCTGAATTTTAGAATCTACTTGTAAAACCCCAAGTAACTCCATCAACAAAAGTCAACAAGGGGAAAGAAAGAAGTTATTTTCAGTTTCAGACATCCATTATTTTGTACCTAAACAGATCCAACCTGATTGGCATTACTCTCATATAAATTTTCCATATTTAACACCTAATTTAGAACAGGCAAACAAGGGCGTAGAAAGCCTTCTGAGAGTTCATGAAATAAATATAATACAACAGGTATACAAACTCATTCTGCATGTTATTTTTAAGTAGGCTACATAATTTATATTTTTATTGTGAGAACATAAAAACAAAACTGACCTTTACAAAATTATGATTTCATATAGAGTAAAACCACTTGCCTCTGCTTCTACTTCCCAGTGTTTTAAAACGAACGGTAAATTGAAACAGAGACAAAATACTCCCACTGTAATGCAAACAGCAGACAGCTTTTTAGTGTGTCCTCATAATCTGGGAGAGGAAAGCCAAATTAACCTGTCACATAAAACATTTTAAAACCAGAGTAAACTGGTAGAGAAGCCTAAAAGGCAATAAAAAAAACCCTCTCAGACTGAAAGAATTTCAAAGCAAAGTGAGCTTTCAAGAAAACCTCGTCCAAGTACAACGAAATGAGAACGTCCCTCATGCTGGTCTCAAAACATTCCACATTTCCACAGCTGAACCCCTGGTTCAGAGACCTACAACTGAGATAGCAACGACAAGCGTAGGTCAAAGCCAAGGTGTCACAAACCGTCACAACAAAGCTTGGAAAGTATTGAAAAAATCAAAGTGAGCTGCTCTGGCTTTGTTGAGCAGTAGCGTACAAACCTATAGTAGAGTAAATAGCATAGTTTTAGTGATAATATAAAAATAGCTTGCAAGCTAAGTTACCTTTCAGACTAAATTCCATATTTTTAGAATCATACGAACAAGATTTCATTTTCCTCAACTTATTTTATGCTTTTTAAAGCATTTCCTAAGAAATTTATTTTTATACAGTTAAGCTAAAACCTGTCAGGTCTGCATGCTTTTTAAGGATATACCTTGTCACCTAGTAGAATATAAAAACCACAGCAAAACAGTGCAGAATTTTGTAAAAATACTTTAAAGAAATTTACACTTCACTCTAAGATTATTCAAGTTAAGAATTAATCACCAGGATTGACAGTGTAACTCCTTTGCTTCTGTTATCCTCATTGCACATCAAAAACCAAAGTTGTTATTTCTGCCAAGACTCTAAGGAGTGGATCCTCCATCTCTGCTGGTCTAATGAGCAAGCAAACACTGCTCCATAGGCAGAATCGTTTTGGGGCTTCTGCAGACAGAAAAAAAAAAATCCTGAACTCACCAGAAACTTCTCACTACAAGCAAAACCTGAAGGCAAGACTTCAAAGGACTCTTAGAAGCACAGCTCCTCAGCAAAGATCAATACAGGCAGCCTTTCTGCGACTTCACAAACATTGCTTTGTATTTATGACCAGTTTTTTCTTAGCAGTGCAGGCCATGAAAGTCAGAGATCACTAGGTACGCAATCTTTTTTTAATCAAAAAATAAAGGGCAACACTTAATGCATTTCAAACTACCAGATTTTTACTTCTGAAAACTTAAAAGCTTTCTATATATGTCCTGATTTCTAATACTGACAAAAAATAATTGACTACTACACACTTTTCTCATTTTCTGCAGTCTCAAAGTTTGTTTTAAGTTACAGTACTGCAAGGCACATACAGAATCTCTTCCTTTCCAACACACAGCAGATATATTCCCTGAAATAATTTTAAAATCCTCAAAACAATTAAAAATGCTACAAAGTTAACAATTTCTATTTAAAAACATTGTTCCTACACAACATGCACTTTTTTGGATAACAACTTAGCAAATAAGTATAAATTATTTTTTCTTCTTTTCATTTACAGTGGAAATAGACTGAATAATTTTTAACCTGGAAAGTACTGTATCATGTCACATTTAAGTTATTGCCTTCATTATAAATTGCATCATCTCTGAAAATCCACAAAGGTACTGGATTTGGAAATAAGCTGGGGGTGAGAGACTCCATGACACAGTTTAGCCCATGTGAAAATGGGTTTTCCACATAAAGCAATACCACCAGAGCAAGAAATGAACTTTCTTCATTCAGTGGATGAGGACAAGAGAAACTGATGTAAGTGCGTTTGTTCAGTTTAATGCAATGTCATTAGCAACTACTTAAAAATCTTAAGTTTTCTCTCTTTTGGGCAAGCATATCTTACTATGAAAGCAACTGAATTTTTAAGAGGTAGTTTTTCTCCATTATGCGCTTATTTATTTCAAATAAAACATAACCAAAAAAACACCAACATCTGCTTTTCAACGAGGATCAAGTCTCAAAAATTGGTACAATATCTGACAAAGTTCAATATTTTATTTGCCCTCAGCAGTACTGGGCTGCTTCGGAACCAGTGTATTCCAGGTTGTCTTCATAGTCAAAAGACTAATCTACCAACGGTACTGAACCCACCCCCTCCTCCTCCACCTGTGGGCCCACAACTTCCAGGGGGGTCGTTGTCATCAAATCCGTTGGGTCGGAAAGAGCACGAGGCTGAGGCAGCTTGAAGTGCTTGTGTTCGAGCACTAAGCTCTTGCTCCTGAAATGGAAGAATAAAGGGAATTTAAAAAACAGAAATACACCCCCCTCCCAACCTCAAGCCCTTGAAGCAGCTTATTTCTAGTAAATTTTGAAGCAGCTTTTAAAGTAACGTCATTAACTCCTGGACTCCTAAGTGTCAACAGCTTTGCTGAACTTCAAGCTGAACGTTCACAGCCAATCCAAGATGAACGATTTCGTTAAACATCAGTAATTGTAAGTGAAACGTAATTAAACCCATTTAAGTTTATGCTAAAACTGTGTTTTATAGCAACATGGGATGGTAGTAAAAAATGAGACTGATCAGAAGTTAACAAAACATGAGGTTTTGATACATTTCACATGAATTTTCATCCTAGCAGTTTTAAAATGCCCTTGCTCTTGGTTACAAAACTGAAAGATAAAACCATTAAATCAATGTTAATTATTTAAAAGACACTTTATTTCACTCAATCAACTGCACAGACTAACAACCTACTTAGATAAAAGGCAAGGAGATGGACAAGCTATCTAGTTTCTATTTGTTGCAGCTTTTTAGCTTTCAAGTACTATTGCTACACTAACTGTTATAACATTAGTAGGTCTCTACAACTCTCATGCACTTCAGAAAAATCAGTCAGCTGCCGGAAAAGGTACCTGCACAACTGGAAGGAACAAGAAAGCTCTGCCTCCTGCCAGATGCTTTTTCAGCTGAAAGCTCCTGAGGATCCTTAAGACATCTAAGAAGGGGATAAGCACAGGCTTCTCCCTCATTAGAGATACTATACTCTACTTTGTCTCTGGCCAACCAGTTTAATAAACCTCGCAGCAATTTTTTGTATCCCATTCTCAAACTGGTCAACAGCTTCAAAAATTGAGGGAGAGAAGGCAGATGTTGGGCTCTGGAAGACTAACGGGAAAAAGACAGTAGACCTGTACAAGCTTTACTCCTTTAGGAAGCAAACTGAAAGTATTCAGGAGCTAAGGCTCACACCAACACCCTCCTTAGTGTGACACTTCATCACTACACACCTCCCCAGGGCAAAGGGAGCAAACTTCAAACAGGGTTTTAGTAATTATACAGGTCACCTTGAATTGTTCCTTTTCTTCTCCACCTCCTGGTGAAAGAAAGGAATAGAGCCAAGAACCTGGAAGACTGACTATTGTACCACCACAAAAGCACTAAACTTACCTCTTGTCCATGTACAGGTGCTAAAAAATAGTCCTTGTGGACTATTACTTTAAATTACTTTGCCCTCTTCAAAAAACACAGCCTAAATTTGAAACTGTTTCTCACTACTACAGACTGAAATGTATACTCATTTCCAAAATTATATAAGGTATTCAGAGGACACTGTCTACACTGGCAATATTCCTCAAAGAGAGTATTATGATATCTCCAGCCATAGGTGGGGATTCATTGGCAACATCTGGCTAACTACATGACATATCACAAACTAAGTAAATTTACTGGGAATAACAAGGAAATACGAAGAACTCACTTCTAGTACCAGAAATCAACCAAACATTTTGATTAAAATAACAGACCCTGTATAAATAGCCTGTTAAGTTGAAAAAAACCCCAATGCCAAGCTGTTTAGCTTAGAACAAAATTTCTTCTCAAAACCAAACAGTGAGAAACTCACTACACTGTACCTGGGCTGGTTTTTATTTTTTTTTTTTTTTGTAAAATATTTCAGAAAAATGTTAGTTTTAATGCAGCACAGCACCAAACCAAAAAAAAAAAAAAAAGCAGCTTTCCATCCTCCCTCCTTTGCTTTCATCCCTCCAGAGAACTGTTTTCTGGTAACTTTATCCCTCTCAAACCCCAGTAGTTGAGTTTTCCCTAACAAACCGAACCATAAAAGAAAATAAGCATTAACAATAGGTTTGAAGCTATATTAAATAAAAATCTTAAAATTATAGATTAAAAGAACACAACAATATTACAGGTAAGTTTTGTTTGTTTGTTTGTTTTTTTCCCAGGTTTAGGCAGAAACATGATTTATTTTTATTGCCTTAGTGCAGTTTCTGACTTATGTGCAAGGGTTGACTTGCACAGTTCTGGAGACACCCATCATGTTCAGTACAGAGTTTGACTGAGCTGCAAGCACAGCTTGTGACAACCACTTGGAAATGCTCTTCAGAAGCAACCATAATGCACTGAGAACAGAATAAACCTCAGTTGTGATCTCAGCTTCACTGCTAAGTGCATGAAGAGTTTTCCATAATGGATGGAAGGTATCCCCCTTTATATGCACACACACAGACGAGAAACATGGAGCAGTGATCAAATCAAACTATTAAAGTTTCTTGGCAAGTATTAGTATTTAAAAACCATGCACTATTTGTGTATTCAATGTTAAAAGTGAATTATTTAGTAGTTCAAGATCTTCCATGCTTTATTCCTGCTCAGCAGTTTGTGATAAACGAGTATATTTCTTTCATCTCTTGAGGCACATATTGACTTAATGAATATTAACCTACAATAAATTGTTCTAGTATAGCACACAGCACTGACATTTTTACAAACAATAACCTTGTTTCTAAAAAAACCCAAATGTTGCATGTTTTCCAGATGATATTTATGTTAACAAATACTAAATCAGGTAAATAAAACTCGATAGTCAATACAGTTCTCCAGACTGAGGATAAAAAAGAGTATCCCTCCCTGCTTTCCACTTGCTCCCAGAATGGTTTTTTTTAATTTGTTTTAAAAGGAGTGGGGGCTACCCCCATTGCATGTTTAGTTATTTAAAGTGAAAACATCTTAGTTTACCATGTGGTAAACTCATATGTAACAGTAAAACAAAAGCAGTAAGCTAGAGAATTTTTCTAACCTTTTTTTTTTAAAAAAAAAATTAAGGCTTTCTCAAGGAGAGAAAAGCAGATTCTTAACTTAGTAGTAAATTACTAGTTTAGAACTCTGAACCAAAAGAAAAATGTGAGGTCTCAGAATTACCATAATCTAATTCAGTCAATCACAGTATTAGCATTAACTTGAGAAAAACAGTAACTGAGCACTTCTAATGTGCCTCAATTAAAATGAAAAAGGACAGGAGCTCAGCAACTCTGAGATTACTAAAGCACTACAAAGCAAGCCAATACTGAAGAATACAAAACTGAAAGGTGGATAAACTATAATAAATTAGAAACAAACAAACGAACCCCCCTAAAACCCAAACAAAAACAATATGGTTGGAAAATATTTCTCATTTTGAGATTAAAAAAGGAAAAAAGTACAAAGAGGACAAGGAGTAATGGTTTTAAACTAAAAGAGGGTAGTTAGACTAGATGTGAGGAATAAATTTCTTACAATGAGGGTAGTAAAGTACTAGAACAGGTTGTTCAGAGAGCTGGCAGATGACTCATCCCTGGAAACATTCAAGGCCAGGCACGATGGGGCTTTGAGTAACCTGGTCTAGTTGAAGATATCCTTACTCATGGCAGGGGGGTTGGACTAGATGACCTTTAAAGGTCCCTTCCAACCCAAACTACTCTGTGATTCCACAGTCAAAGATTGCTGCTACAGAGGCCAAGAGAAAGTCAAGAGGAGATGTGGCACATAAGCAAAGACAGTCAGGGCACAAATGCTTTAACCACACAGTTTGCAAATGGCAGCAGAGTTAAAATTTAAACTCTTAGTTCTCTTGTTAATGTTTGTAAAATACCAGCAAACAGAAAGGAGATTACAGCTAGGGGAAGTTCTGGGATCAACAGGCAATGTGCAGCTGGCAGCGCTGGTCCCACACAGGGATACAGAATAGGCAGCAAAGGGAAAATGGAATCTAGTCACCAGCATTCATTCAGTTGTTCTAGAATTTGGGTAAGCACAGCTGTGTAAGTAAAACTTCACTACAAATGAAAATGCACTAATAAGGACATCATTTAGAAGTTTCTAAGTATAAAGGCAATGGAAGTTTGAACCCTTTGAAGCCTCTCCTGTAGAGGTCGTTTAACCACTTGTAATTCCATACAAGCATCTCCACTAAAATTTAAACTGAAATGAGTTTATGCCATTTTCCTTGAAGTTTCCCATCTAATAGTGACAACCCTACCATCAAACCTGTCCAGCAACATTATGATGGAAGCCAGGCTGGTGATTTATAAGGTTAATATACCAGAATACTTAAAAGTTAACTTGTTCGTTCCTTTAGACTGCCTCTTGTGAGGCATAAGACCACCACCCTTCACACAAAACTTTCATCTTACCTGCAAGTACAGTTTGTTATCTTTTGTAATTGCATCCATGAGGTCCTTTTGTAAAGGAGGGTCTCCGTTTACCCAGAGTCCATTTGCTGGATTGGTGCTGAAGCCACAGGTGCTATTTTGCTTTTTGTAAAACAGAACATATGCAGTGTCCTTTGGAAATCTACTGGTAATTTTCTGGACTGACTGAAATGAGGTAAATGTCACTCTGCTGTCATTGAACAGAAACCATTCTCTTGGCATCTCAGTGTCCAGCTCATTTTCTACGACAGTACAAGGACTCTCCTCTGTCAACAACTTATCCTGAGGAGAAACTAAAGAAAGAGCTGTAGACTGGTGGCAGAGCCCTGAAGGCCCTGACCCAGTAACATTTCTAGCATAGGAATAGTAATGTCCACTTTCAGAGGATACACCAGAATGCACTACCACAGAACTTAGCATGTAGGGCACCAGTTGTGGGCAGGTCACTTCATCAGCACCTGAGGGCTTCAGTTTTTTAGCAAGGTTTTCTCCGGTATCGGAAATCTCAACACCAACAGACCAACTTCCCGAAACTACTGCTAGAGGGGATGTTATGCTTTTGACTGGCAGTTCCAAAACAAGTGGTAAAGACACATTGTCCAAGATTTTGCGCCTTATGTGACACTTTGGATCATATGAAAATCTCAAAAGAGTGAGAATGAGGTATTCAGGTTCCTCAACGATTTGCATAGTTTTCTCCGCATTCTGTAGAGAGGCACACTTTTCACAATAATACTTATTGTCTCCACTAAGGATCTCAGGTGCCAGAAAATAATTGAGTAAGTCTGTAACTGACAGGGTATTTTTACCTACTAAGTGAGTCTGAGACATATCCCTATTACTCTGAACTTGCTTGAGTTCAGAAATTGTGGTGTTCTCAGAGTTTGGCTCAGCAGAAAAATCTTCTATGGTTCCTTCATTCATTATTGTGTCACATCCACGATTTACATCCAAATTATTGAGAGGTGTTTCTGCAGCAGGACTAGTTGCTGAAGTGTTAGTTTGCACCACGTAGTCGTCCTTCACTTCAGAATGTTCCATACATTTTGGGCCATTCTCCAAGGAAGTTGGAGGACAGAAAGCCAGAGAGAGATCTGTGAAAGCCTCTTCCTTTTGAGACATACTCTTGCAGTTCAAACAGCATATGGTAGTCTTCAATTTTCCTCCAAACATCTTCTCTATCAGAGTTCTTTCTTCACTTTCCATACAAGGTGTTTCAGCAAATACTTGTGTTTTATGGACAGTTTCTTGTGCCTGTGACTCTTCATTCATTATACTTTCAGAACTCTTTGCTGAAGACAATGCTTTCAAAGTTCTCTCTTCTTCATGCAGCCTGAACACAAAGAAAAATAAATCCAAGTAACTGGGCTATTTTCCAATCAAATATTGCTGCACTATTTCAGACTTCTTTTTCTCAGCTTTGCTAAAAATTATAGATGGTTAAATTATAAGTGGCTAGAAGTGTCTTACACTAAAAAAAGCTGTTGGTTATTTTTTATACAAGCAAGCTGAACCACAGAGGTCTGTGCTATCCAAGAGTATAAGAGGCACAAATGCATTTAGTGTGGGTTTCATTATATATAACAGAACACAATGGATATATTGAAAGAACTGGCAAGTATTAAAAAAACTAACAATGTTTTTATTATTTACCATTACATTATCTTAATAAATCTGCTCTCCAGTTGACTGGTTCTGTATGTCAGATTTTGTAAGAGAATAAGCAGCTATTTATCTACTGCCAGATATTTCCAAAGAAAAGGTCAAGATTCTGTAGCCAGGAAAGTTAAAAAACTACAGCAAGAAAAAGAAACCCAAAACAGGGGGGGGGGGGGAAGAGAACACTATTTCACTATGAGATAAACTTCTTCAGAAGTGTAATCTGTCATAAAGCAGTAATGCTTAAGCCGCAACTCAGTAAGCCAAAAATAAAGAGGGCTACTAATAAATTTAGGTATGTTTGTTTTATCTCTGCCACAGTTAATTTGCTTGCTTATTAAACTGGTTATAAATGCATGTACATTTCTGTGACTTATGGGACCTGTATGAAATATAGCTGTCTCCACCAACACGAAATTCCAGGAGCACAAACTGCTTGCAGCAGCCACACCAACTTTACAACAGGACCACAACTCTAAACATAATACCCATGTTTACATTTGTAAAAGTGGCACATTGTTACCACTATAACCTGTTTTCAATTATGTGGATACTAGATGGCATCCAGACTTTACCACAGATAAAGTCCATGAAGAAAAGCACTTCATAGGCCATACAGAAAACCAGAGAAAGACAGGAATGAGGCTGAACATTCCTGATCCCCACTCAAGCAGTGGAACAGTTACACAACTGCTCCTAAGAGTTGAACACTGTGTGGTAAGACTGTACATTAATTCCCACTAATAGTACAATACCCATACCTGTCTAGCAGGAATCTGAGATATTCTGAGCAATCCTGCTGGGATCGAGGGGTGAACCATGGTGGCCTGGAAGCTTCAAAGAAAATTCTAGGAGCATATGCCTCCCTCTGTTTGTGTAAGAGAAGCACAGGCAAGGTCACATAAGAACTTCAAAAATTGGTTATATTATTTTAATATTGATCACTGAACTCTGGACTACATTATCCTACAGTAACTGAATGAAACACACGGTACACAAACATTTAAGCAACTTAATCATACAAAGGGAGAGCTATTAATTTTGTAGCAATCAATTCCAGCACAAAGATAAAAACAGTTGATCCTGCAGGCAAATATTAAATGTGTAGTGAATGTAAACCAGATATTATGCGTAATAGCAGCTACTGTTCTTGTTGATGAGTTAAAAAACCTGTTTTCTTTCTTCAGAACACCAGTATTTCATAAGCACAAGTTATTTTTAAGCTGATCCAGCCTCAACCCCTTCACAAGTTCATTGTTATTATTCAAAGAGAAAGAAGCGTCTTATGTCTTTCTAGCATTACAGAATGTTCTGAGCATTTAATAGAGTTCACTTTAGAATTCAAACTACAATAAAATTTGGTGTAAAAATCACTGCAGGAAGTCACAGTTTGTCCTAGAAAGTTACAGAAAGTCAGCTTGTATATCAAGTCAGGTCTTATTTGGATTTTCTCATTTGGGCTTCTCAAAGAAAACCTGTTACTGCCCACTTATAAAACCAACAAAATGCCAACATCTTCCACTTATGAAACACACCTCTCTAAGTCTATCCACACCATCTGAAGATTTGGAGACAGACTCATTCCCATAGAAACATGTAATATTTATATTTAATATACTCAAGAGGACTCCCATGGCATCATGTTTGTTACCATTTTGGTATATAGATGGAGGCTTAAAAAACAGCAGATGAAATAAACTGACATACCTGTGTATGGGCCAAAAATGCAAAAAGATGCTGTAATTTTCTCATTAGTGAATTACAGCCATTTAGATTCAGAGATAAAACATGTCTTCTGAAACTGAAATGAAAGAGAGAGGCATTAGTTTCCTTGCCAGATTTCTAACAATGCTGTTATCATTCCAGCTCAGATAATTACTTCAAATTGAAGGACCACAAAGTATGTAACACTTCCCTTTAATACCTGGACTCTGCTCTAGTGCAGATGCAAAACTACTGTGCAGTAAGAACTAACACTGCAGAACACCTGTTCCTTTAAACATTTAAATGTGTAAGAATGGGCTACAGACAGACAACATTTTTTCAATATCTTCCAGATTATCATAAAAGCATCACCACAAACTTTTATGATACTGAAGTGAGCAAGGACAGCGAGGAAAGAAGGACTTGTCTTTTGACACTGGTCAGAAGGATCAGGCTTTTAATGGCTAAAATTGCAATTTCAGAGTTGGACTCCTACAAAGCCGAGTGCAAAGAAACCCACTCAGCTCTAGCAAGAGAGAGATCCCAGGACATGTTACTATTCTGTGAAAATTAAGAATGCAATAACTGCAAGACTTAATTTGCAATGAAGAGCTGTTAAGAACAACTTACTCTGTAGCCATAAAAAGTGCCTGAATAACACTGTTCATGTAGCAAGTATTTCCTAAATTTATTAGACCTGTCTTCCCAGTTTCAGATTTTCCAGAAAGTCTAGATAAACAAGATGGCAAAGAACTGGATTGAGAAGTCCAAGCACTCTGACTGAGAATCATCTTAATCTTCTCTTCAGTGGGTTTGGGCATATCCTACAAGAGAAACATTTAACACACTTCTTAGGTTTCTGTATTTGATTTTATAATAGGTCCTGCCATTCAGCAGTATTGTATCTTCCCTTGCTCCCCAATTCTCCTTCAAGGTCTTGCTATCCCTGATAGCCTAAGAGATACAACACCCACCCCCCTTCCCCTTCCAAGCTTTCTTTATTCAACTCTCAAATTGCAGGAATAAGGGACACTTGGAGTTAAATTGATAGGGGCTTTTAAGTGTCAAAACATTTAACTGCAATACCAGTGATATAAAATAAGGCAGTAATACTCAAGCCTTCTTTGTGGTTTTTGTTTGTTAGGTTTGGGTTTGTTTTTTATTTTTTATTTCTTTTCAGTTTTATTTTATTTGTTTAGGAGTGTTGGGTTTGGGCTTTGTTTGTTTGTTTTTTTCAAACAGCATAGGCCAGCATCCCTTACCCACAGAGGCCTGCAATACCCACTGCAATATCCATGGTGCTTGGAAGTGAGCCAAAGGTTACCACCACCCCAAGTACTTCTTTTCAATACCATCAGCATTCTTAATTTATATTTGCAGCTACAGATTCTAGGTTGGGTTGAAATGAAATGTCTAGAATAAACTTCATGAAAGTATATTAGTTGTTATATAAGGCTTAAGAAATTAGTTTGTACTTTTAATAAAGGATCTCATTTCAGGCTTTTCTTAAAGCCTGCTACAATCCTATCACAGACACTCAGGCAAATTTTTCTACCATATTCCAAGCACAATAAGAATTGACATGAGATTATGTGGTTAGCTCTTTTCTCCCAGTGGAAGTGCTAAAGAATTTAGGTAAGTGGAATTATAGCTTCGTATCTGGAAACACAAAACAAAAACATTCCACCCTCTCGACATTCCTAACGTACCTTAATAGCTTCCAGAATGGGTTCATAGAGCTCTGGAAATCCTGAATAATGATACATCATGCAGTGTATCAACTCAGACAACTGCATCAGAAAGGCTGTACTGGAAGGCAAGCCATCCCTTTTGAAGGAGTGAACCAAACTGACCACGTGGGGGACAATCTGAACGGGGAAACAGAGAAACAAACAGAAAGGTGTTAATTGCATTTTCCTATTTTTCTTTCCTTCGACAAACAACTTCATTGAACTTCATTGTTTTATATATGCCAAATGACAGAGGACCTTTTGTTATTAAATAAGAAGTGGTTGAGAAACAATGACTTGAAAAACGTGCATTATTCTTCACTCATGACGATTTTCAAGCAGCACAATTAATTATTCAATGCTCTCTTTAGCTCAGATAGCAAGTTTTGGAACTTTATGAACTTAGAAGGTGCATGCTAAGATTTTAAGTGGTCAAATGTCAAAAGTATTGATCTTTTTAAGGATATTAACTGCCAACATTTTGCTTGTGTGCCACCACTAGCAGTTTAGTATCCCGTTCTAATTCCATGGATACGGTTTTTAAAACAAACCTCTCAATTTTCCTTAAACAGAATCTAATGCTTGGGATCACAAGCCAGTGAATACATTCCTGCTATTCCAGCTTACAGGACGCACACTGGCTCGCAGCTCCACCTAGCGAGGGAGCTCAGCTCCACAAACCATGTAATTTAGTATGAACTCAAAAAGTTTATCACATCTATGGTCATCTGCTTGTGGATTAGTTCTGATTCATTACCATTTTAAATTGGGTATAAATCAGAAGTGTTCACTCCACCTCCTTCCTCTTCAGTGTAGCTCTCCATTCTTAAGTGCATGAGACTTATTTTACACAGTCTTAATTTATTTCCTTAGCCTTAATTTATTTCAAAGCAATTCCCAAAGAGTAGAGACTGTGAACGAAAATATTTCAGACACCTTTGCCAGTTTCTGAGTGATCAAAATTGATTAACTTTGAAAGAAGTTGATGGAATAATTACTCATTGCTAATTACTACCAAACAATTTGTAAGGTAAAGACATGACATACAGAACAGAAATTATAAGAATATTGTAATTCTAGGAGAGTATACCAATTAACATACTTCAAAACACCAAAGTAAAAGGAGACAGGTGCAAAATACTAATTTGCCACTTTTTCCAATATTGTTTTTTTCTCAGAGTATAAAACATATTTTTACATCTCTGAGAAACAAACCCTACTCTCTTCAGGTAAGCAAAATATCCACTGTTTAAAAAGAAAAACACCAAGAGGAAGTGTTCCAGGTATTACAGATTCAACAGTGAAAGTTGCAATGCAAACATTCCCTCTTTGAGTTTACAAAATCCAACTAATTTATGCTAATGATGCTCAAGTATAAGGAGGGGGAATGTTATCTCCAATGCACTGCCAAATAAATGAACTTATATTTATCAAATGTGTATTCAACCATTTCACAGTCAAACCATTTGTTATAAAAAAGTAAACAAGTAGTTTAGGTGCAGGAAAATATTACAGAATACTAAATGATAGCAGTAGCTCAAAAATGATAGTGAAGACTGTTTAAAATGCAGCAAACACTGTCATGAAATCCTGAAGAGAGATGTTTATGCAGTACTGCACGCAGCCTACAGTAAAAATTTTCTTTGTTAAATCAAATTCCTATTTCTAGAATAAGCTCTCTCATATTTTACATTTCTCTTTGTGTTTTGTCTCTCTCAGAAACACAGCAGAAATGTAACACAGCCAATACATGAAATATTTATATTTTGAGCATACTCAAGGCTACTTGGCTCTTTCATTTGTGACTCAGATTTCTATCTTAGGCCAAAATTAGGGTGGTGGAAGGAGGAGAGAGAAACTATCGACATCTACCATTAAAAACCAGTGTAACAGGCACAAGGCAATTACTGTGACATTAAACAAAGGGTTTGATATCCCTTCAGAGCCTTGGGGACAGCAGTGTGCCAGGTTGTTACTATTAAATCTCAGACATATTTCACTTAAACTTCAAGCTGAAAACTGAGTATGGGAACATCTTGCTGTATTAATACCAGCAGTCACTGTGGTACCCTCTTATCTCTGGCCTTAACTAGTGAACTGCATTTTGAAGAGGGGCCATTAAAAATAGTCTCCTTCAGTTTGTCTACGTGTACACTGAAACACAGATAGCACAGCTTTCTTGAGGTGAAGTATTTCCTGGTCTCATGAACCTTTTGAGAGTGACTAGGTTACTTAGAGAAGATAGCTGGTTATCTGTTTTCCCCAGACAGCCCAACTTTATCAGCCAATTTCACACCACATAAAATGGATTACCAGCAGCACACAATCAAACTGCGGTGCCCAGATACTACTGCCAGAAATATGCATGTACAAGGAAGAACAATGCTTGCTTCCAGTTATTAAGGGGGTGAATCTGGAAGTTAAAAAGCCTAGTGGTCTGTGACCACTGGAATCTGATTCTAGCACCTTCAACAAAGACAAAATCCACGTGCATCAATTCTATTACTCTTTTTGTTACACTTTAGAAACTGCACGAGTGACATTTCAAAGGACTGAAACCCATTTATTTAGTAACTCACCAAATGAAAAGCTTCTGGAGAATGCTGAAAACTAAGTAACATGTGCGAAAGGACAGCAAGGGCACCAGGCCTCACTAGAGGAAACCAAAGTCGATTAAAGACCTAAAAAAACATACATTTATTTCAGTATATCTGGAAAGTAAAATTTCAGTAAACATGTAAGCAGATCTCCAAATACACAACCATTTGAAAGAGACAATCATTACATGCAAGTGAAAGCTACAGATACATTTACATGATATTTTCAGAAAAAGAAAATACTATCTGTTGCAATAACACAAGATGTGAAGCAATTGCATAGCTGTTACAAATTCCTTTCCCTCTCCTTCAGTTTTGAATGCACTTTTCCAACATACCAATTCGATCTTAAGCAGAGTGACATCAATGAGGATGGTAAATTTCTGGACTGCAGCCAATCCTTTCAGCAGTGCAATCACCCACGTTTCCACATGCTGAGCCAGAGGCCAGGATAACCAGTCAATCATTCTGAAAGACAAATCAAGAACAAAAAAAAAAATAAAATAGAAATACCACAATGTCACTAACTTTAATCTCCACAAAAAGATTGTCTATATGACACACTTACACAGGGACTCACAAGTTAGGCAAGTCGTAAAATAATTTTGATTCTACCTCAAGCCATTTAACTCTGAAATTAATAATGATCTATTTAAGACACTAGAAGTAAATACATATCCCCCCCAAACACGTAAGCATATAAAATTAATTATTATGTATTGTTACTTGTTATTCAAGAATGTGAACCATGATTGCATAGACATTAAGCTAACATCTGGCAAAAACTTACTGCTGTAGGTACAAAAGTGCCTGTACCTGAGAACCTCCCCTCTGACTCCTTTTACCCCAAAGCAGACCAAACCCAACTATTAAGGAAGTTTCTTCAACTCAGAACTACATTCCTGGAAGCCAACTCAAATACTCTCAATTAAAATGGTAAACTCTAGGAATTTTAAATACACTGCAGAAGGTGTTATAAGGATGTTATAATAGCTATCAGCAGCCTGGGGTCTACATGAGTCTCAGAAGTAAGAATTTCACTAGAGCTACAAAAAAGGAAAAGTGAAGGGACTTCCTGTGCTTAGAAAATACAGTGAAATATCAGCAACAGAAAACTGAAGTATTCTATCCTTCTAAATTAATAGACTAATTATACTCATCCTTGAGTAGATTAGTTGAAGCAATTCTAAGAGACAGACAATACTGTAAGGCAATGCCAGCTAAAACATGAAATTTAGGCTTTGTTCTTCTGAGATTTACTTGACAATACTTTGGATTTTCTTTTAACTGTCCACAAGCTCCCCTTCTCCAAACCAGATGAGGCAGCACTAATTAAGTGGAAGGACAAATTTTTATCATGAGGGTAGTCAGATACTGAGACCAGTTACTGAGGCTGAGCTGCCTCTATCCTTGCAGAAAGCTCTTAACTCAGATGGACAAGGCCTTGAGCAACGTCTGACTTCAAAACTGGCCCTGCTCTGAGCAGGACTGGGCCAGATGACTTCAAAAGGCTCCACTCAACCCACAGAACACCAAAATTCTATTCCATAATTCAGTGAAAACAGGGAGTTTAAACAGTATTACTTCATTACTTTTCTGAAAAATTTCCTCATAAAGATCATTTTAAGAGGCTAAATTCTAGCATGGAACTGAATGGGCTGAAAGTAACCAGTCTAATAAACAGTCACGACCACTACAAGAGGGCACAGTTATAGTCATTATCAATCTGAGGCAAAACCATCAGCCTCTGTGCTCTCCCTGGAGATTAAGAGTTCCAAACAGACTGAAATCAGGATTTCAGTCCTCTGACACCGAACTAAAAAGACAACAGGTGGTTTAGCAACACCAGACATGTATTCTGGACATGTTGTATTACCAGAAACACCCTAAATTTACACTGAGTTCATAATTAGGATCTGAAAAATGTATATTACTATCTTCACACGTAACATTCAAAGGTTTCTCTAAAATAAGGCATCTTTAGACTGCCTCTTTAAGAAAGAAGCACAGATCTCACCAAGTTTCTTCAACGTTACTACAAAAAAAATATATTTGTGAGAAAACACGGCAACATAATCACTGCTCTGAATTTACACAAAGCTCTCATTTCCTCAAGATGTTAAATTCAAGCGCTTATTCCAAGCACCCTTTCCATATACTTTCCAAAAAGGAGAAACAAAGACACAGGCTGAAACTGCTTTTGCTTGCAAAGAGAGAATCTTAACCTAAAAACAGGTCCCCAAACTCACAGTCCCATAGTCTTCAAATCTTCCCCTCCCCAATTTGTAGGATTGATATTTTTCAGCGGCAGCACAAACATCTGCACAGCTAATTTAAGCCTAATGACAACATATTTGGTTTTCTTAATTAGCTTTTTACACAAGTAAAGAGTATCTGACCACTATGTGTATTTTCAACCACACTGAGTCACAAACTCCAAGTGAATAACACTGCTTTTGGGTGGGAGCTGGGGCTCCTCTTATTCCACCCCTTGCTCTGGCTACAGGATGGGCCGTGCTGTGTCATCTCTAGTCAGTATAACTAACTACTTAACTATTCACCATTGTTACTAATAGGACAAGTGCTGTTGTTTGAGTATGATTAACCTTGTAAAGAGAAGCCTCATTCTCTCTGTAATTGATACAGACAGAATTCCCATCCTTAAAATCTGTTTTTGCTCTTAAAGCAAGAGTTAATGCTGTTAAGAACAGAAACAAAAGCCAGAAGAGGAACAGAAATAACTTGTAGACATGTTTGAGAGTGTCCAAAAAAGCATCAAATCTTAGATCTGGTAGGCAAAGATTAGGTATTTTGGTTACTAAATTCTCTCTGCATTGCATTTACTTGGCTCCTGCTCTGTTGCAATCAATGACTGCCTTTTCACTACAAAAGCAGATAATCATGAATATAAATACAGATTTTTTTGTGTTTGACCAGATAGAGAGAACTTTAAAGGCCTCAAGAGTACCTTCTGCCCCATACCACCCTAAAATGAGCAGATCTGTTACCCATGTATATGCCTAATAAGGACAGCATTTTTGATATCTATAAACCACTCCCCAAACAAATCTATTAATCTTTTAATTGAAAATTATTTACTACTTTGTGTTCAATTTAGACAGATTTTGCAGTGTCACAGAAGTTCTACTTAAGAAGTGAGCAACAAGGTCTCTACTTTGCAGTCACCAAAGCTCTTCTGACTCTCATCAGGAGACCCTGTCATGCCTGGTGTTGTGCATCTCCTGGGAATGCTGCCTGCCTGATGACAGCATGGTCATTTGGTGCTCCAGACATTCCAGCTGCATTAACCTCTTCACAACTGCTCCACTAAACCAGAGGAGAGTAAACATTGCAAAGGGTTGCCAGAGGTAGAAAAAGAAACCGGATACAGTGTTGACATGAGTATCCACAAAAAAAGTGTCAAAGAGTATCTAAAGTTCACAGAACAAAACCAGAATTTCTTAAGATCGAGTATTACTTCAAAGAATGAACAAGGCAAGTAAGACAACACTGCACCTCCAAAAACAAGAAGGAAAACCCCCACCACATGGCCAGTACTAAAAAAAGAGCACTTATTTGATAATAACAGCTCCTACTGTAACCAAAGCTCAGCACTGCATTACTTTCCTAAGCAGAGGCACAGGGGAGCCATTCTAAAGCTAAAATTATATGACCACACTGTGTTGATACAGTAATACAACATAAACACTAAAATACACTAACATGAAAATTAATTCCCAGCATATTACTCTCAAATTTTTACCATGAACAAATCTTTCTGAATTTCCCAGCTCTGACTTTCAGACTGGGCACACAGCTTTGGTAAAATTTGTTTAGTCAAGTAAATTTTTTTAAAATCCCTAAACAACACGTCTTACCCCAAATTATACTACTAATGCTGCTTCTTTTTATTATGTTTTCAACTGAAATACAGCTTCTCAATTTAATGTAAATGGCAGGAATGTTTTCAGTGTGAAAAAACCGTCACTATTTCACCAAGATATACAACTGCTACATTACATGAATGTCTATCTACTACACCACACAAATAGATGTACTTAAAAATACTGCAGACATTAAATTCTTAGTTGAAAGTAACTTCTTAAAAGTTGCTTTTATAAATAACAAATTTTAACAGCCTCCTGTTTAACTGCTTTACTCGTTCTTCTATCCCTCAGTACTCAATAATTTCAACAGGTTTTAAAAAATAATTCAAAGAACTTCAAGGTCTTCATCTTTCTTCCACTGCCACCTTTTTGCATCACTATTACTCACATATCTGAAGATATTAAGATATCAAGACTGCAATCTGAACCCCCAGAACATCCCAAAAAACCTCTGAGGGCCTGAGTGAAGATGGTAATGTTCTGTGAATCCTACTAAAAAATGGGAAAGATATCTAAGCAGAAAAAACCTCAAAACTAAGCAGTAAAACTCATTTCTAACTGCCTCCTCTCTTTAGAGAAGAGGATGGGTAAGGAGATGATGGGTAAGACAACCATGTGAGACCACTCTACTTCTTGGAAAAGCAGAAGGGTTCATGTTCTGAAAATATGGGCTTGTGTCTCTGCTTGACTGTAAACCCCATGAAGTTTCCTATTTATACCATTTTCCATAAGGTGGGAGATCTACACATCATCTAAAAGGAACACAGCTGGCTTCCCCGTAGTTTCTATTTAACCCTCTTCTTCATTCACCCTCATAAAGCATGAGAATGAATTCACAATAGCAATGAAGGCAACTGAAACCATGCCAGTAATATCCACAGCATCATAAATATATTACATGTCAAACAGCATGAACTGGAATACCATTTTAAAAGTTCATCTTTTTTATGTTTTTTTTCTTGTTTAGCTGGGGTTTTCTTCATGGAACCTAAGTGACAATTTCAAAAAAAGGAAAGATTAAGAAAGAGACTCTTCTCTCCCTTTACAATGAGATACATTACCTGCACAGAGCTTGAGTCATACTTGCATCTTTCACATTTGGATCTGTAGTAAGGCTCCTGATGAGTACTGTAATCATCTGTAGTGGTATGTGCTGCACAAGACTTGCCAGTGCAACAGAAGGTTCGAAGGAAGTATCTGTAACAGTTGAACATGACATAATGTAAGAAACTAAAAAGAAAACCCCACAGAAAAAAAATAAGATTTATCTTCTATCCAACAACTTCACTACAGCTAAAAAGTGAGAATGAATCTATCCTATATCTATCATCAAAAACCAAACTAAAATTAAAACATTTCAGTTAAGGACAATGAACAGCATTGAATTACAAACTCCTTCTGTTCTTTTAATACACATGCAAGAAAGTGACAATCTGCCACCTTCTTCCTCAGCCCTAAATGGAACTGTGAAGTGGGGTTTATACTTTTGTAAAAAAAAAAAACAATTACCATACAGTTATACTTGATGTTAAGCCTAGGGATTTAATGCAGCTAACATTTCCCATGTCCTGTCTCAGCACTGTCTGATAACCATACCAGTTAGGGCAAAATATGATGTTAAGTTTCCCAGGCACTTTCCCATGGGAACTAATACAGTACTTCGTAGATTTCTGATGTCAGAAAGGACCTGTTTGCAATCACATTTCCACTATTCAGGCACTGAATGCTTCCTAAAATAGCCAGGTTTTATACACTTCTTTCATACCCTCCAATTTGGTAAACAGTTCCAAGACTTAAGGTATCCCTCTCGAGGAAGTAAGGAGGAAGAGTAGCTTTTCACAGAATTGTTAGGGTTGGAAGGGACCTCTGGAGGTCACCCAGCCCAATCCCTCTGTCAAGGCAGGGTCACCTGAAGCAGGTTACATAGGAACACATCCAGGCGGGTTTCAAATGTCTCCAGAGAGGGAGACTCCACTGCTTCCCTGGGCAGCTGTTCCAGTGCTCTGCCACCCTCAACGTAAAGAAGTTCTTCCTCATGCTGAGGTGAAACTTCTTGTGTTTCAGTTTATGGCCATTGCTCCTCATCCTGTCACTGGGCACCATCAAAAAGAGTGGCACCATCATTTTGGCAGCCAACTTTGAGACATGTACATGCATTTTGCTACTGATAGTTTTAATTCTAAGAGGACACCCAAAACTCCGTTTTGGTACATCATTCAAAACATTGCTGCAAGAGATTGGATTCGTATGTCACTGGGGCCAGCTTGGAGTCCTCATGGTCAGGGCCTGCATGCCAAAATGCCTATTTCCTCACTAAGTTAAAAGAAATCTCTCCGGGAAAAAGTCTGTGGCTCTTTCTCTTTACACGACTTCAAGGTATTAAGAACCAAAGGCTCTGAAAAAGTTTGCTGGGAACTCTTGGGAGTCTTATATATAAGTAAAACGCCTGGGCAGTGTGTGGCTTGGACCCGGGAGTTTTTCCAAACACCATGCTGCTCTGCACCTAAATAAATCACTATTTCCCCTCTAGGGAAATCACAAAGGCTTTGCTTTCTCACTGGCCAGAAAGCTGCACTTTAGCATCCGGGCGAGAAAACAACGGTTCCAACGAGACTCCTCCAAAGCGACCACTCGCGAGCACAAGGAGTTCTCCTTCCCGCTGGACAACCTCCGCCCCACGTTACCCCGCACGGCTCCCGCCTCCCCGTACCCCCCACCCCCTCCCGCTCACCGGCGGCGGAGATGACGGCGAAGAGCTCCTGCAGGGAGGGCAGCAGCGTGTCGGGCTCTGCCTTCCAGACGCTCCGCAGCAGCGCGCTGACCTGCGTCACCTGCGACACGTAGAGGCGCAGCTCAGCCTCCCGGGTGCCCTGGCTCTGGAAGTGCGCGATGCTGCGCACCAGCTGCTGGCAGAAGGCGAGCGAGAGCTTCCTGCCGCGGGGCAGGCACTGCGGGAAGTCTCCCAGGAGCTGGCAGAGGCGGGCGCAGAGCGGCGGCGCCGGGCGCTCGCACACCAGGCGCAGCGCCTCCACCTGCAGCAGCTCGAAGAGCTCCAGCACCGAGGGGCAGCTCATGATGAGGCGCAGCCCCGCCTGGATGTAGTCGAGGATGGCGGGGTCGCGGTTGCTCAGCTCGCCGTAGCCGCGCTGCAGGAGGCCCAGGACGAGCCCGCGGTTGAAGAACGCCTCGAACTCGTCGCGGTGGAAGCGGCCGTAGGCGTCCAGCACCTGCCGCCCCACCTGGCGCTGGAAGGGGTCGGGGCCCTGCAGCACCAGCCGGGTGCCGAGCGCGAACATGGCGCGGCACTGCGCCTGGCTCAGCGGCGTCTCCGCCGACTCCACCACGCGCCGCACGATCACCCGCTTCAGCGGCAGCGGGTGCGACGAGCTCACCAGCCCCTCCAGGATCTTGTCCATGGCTCCGGGAGCATCGGCCGGACAGCGGCGGCGGCGGCAGCAGCGGCGGCGGCGGCGGCGGCAGCAGCAGCGGCGAGCGGCGGCCGCACCAGGCCTCGGCGGGGAACGCCGCCGCCGCCGCCTCCCCACCGCGGCCCTCCCGCCGCCCCGCCGCGCAAT